GGTCATCTCCTGTACTATGCCCGCAGTCTCTGGTCATCTCCTGTACTGTGTCCGCAGTCTCTGGTCATCTCCTGTACTATTCCTGCAGTCTCTGGTCATCTCCTGTACTGTGTCCGCAGTCTCTGGTCATCCCCTGTACTGTGTCCGCAGTCTCTGGTCATCCCCTGTACTGTGTCCGCAGTCTCTGGTCATCTCCTGTACTGTGCCCGCAGTCTCTGGTCATCCCCTGTACTGTGTCCGCAGTCTCTGGTCATCTCCTGTACTATGCCCGCAGTCTCTGGTCATCCCCTGTACTGTGTCCTCAGTCTCTGGTCATCTCCTGTACTGTGCCCGCAGTCTCTGGTCATCCCCTGTTCTGTGTCCACAGTCTCTGGTCATCTCCTGTACTATTTCCGCAGTCTCTGGTCATCTCCTGTACTATGTCCGCAGTCTCTGGTCATCTCCTGTACTATGTCCGCAGTCTCTGGTCATCTCCTGTACTATGTCTGCAGTCTCTGGTCATCTCCTGTACTGTCTGCAGTCTTTGGTCATCTCCTGTAATATGACCTTAGTCTCTGGTCATCTCCTGTACTATGTCTGCAGTCTCTGGTCATCTCCTGTACTGTGTCCACAGTCTCTGGTCATCCCCTGTACTATGTCCGCAGTCTCTGGTCATCTCCTGTACTGTGTCTGCAGTCTCTGGTCATCTCCTGTACTGTGTCCGCAGTCTCTGGTCATCTCCTTTACAATATCCGCAGTCTCTGGTCATGTCCTGTACTATGTCTGCAGTCTCTGGTCATCTCCTGTACTGTCTGCAGTCTCTGGTCATCTCTTGTCCTATGTCTGCAGTCTCTGGTCATCTCCTGTAGTATGTCTGCAGTCTCTGGTCATCTTCTATACCGTGCCCGCAGTCTCTGGCCATCTCCTGTACCATGTCCGCAGTCTCTGGTTATCTCCTGTACTATGTATGCAGTCTCTGGTCATCTCCTGTACTATGTCCACAGTCTCTGGTCATCTCCTGTACTGTGTCTACAGTCCATTGGTTCAGAATAATTTTTTCTTGTTTTTCTCCTCTAAAACCTAGGCACGTCTTATGGTCAGGTGAGTCTTATGGAGTGAAAAATACGGTATTTCATTAAAACCACACATGGAAAAGCCTTCACATATGCAAAGGTTTGTAGAAAAGGCTTCCTCAGGAACTGGTTCGGACCGAACACTGGCTGTTTGGACATTCTTCCAAATGCCAAATATTTAGGACTTTACATTGAGAGACTGTTTGGAGATTTTTTAAATAAAGGACTTGTCAAATATTTAAATGTTTTTAATTATAAGTGATATTTCTGTGAATGAGTGGGGGTACTATGTAGGATCTGGTATACATTTACGGTGAGCCTCTATGCAATTTTATTTTCATTCTTGCTTCTTAAAAAAGAAAAATAAAAAACAGCACACAGACCCATCCAAGGCACCCCTTGGGAGTCTGTTACTGTATGTATTTTTTCTTTAAAAAATAAACCAAGGAGGAAGATGTCATTTGCTGCAATTTAAAACTCTTTTTTTCCTTTGAAAATGTCAGTGCTAAAAAAATCACTGCTCCCGGATGCATGACATTTTTCTAAACATTTTGTGCATTGGTATATGTTCCCCAGGGAAATTACCACCCCCCATTTTTTTCTTTTTGACACCCCCTTGCCTATTAGCGCAGAAGAGGTGCATTTTTATCAGGCAGATTTGGCTCCTGATTTCTAGAGGGTTCAGGTTCAGCAACAGAAGTTCTTTGAAGTTCGCCAAACCCTACTTGAACCAAATCAAACCAGTTCAGCTCATCACTTTTCCCAAATGAAACAAAACATAACTGTATATTAATACTTATAGGTAATAACACCAGGAATTGTTGATCAGGGGAATATCCGATTACCTTCTGGGGGATCAAAAGGGAATTTATTTTTCCCCCACTGGAACAAATTGGACCATGTTTTTTAAAAGGGTTTTTGTCTTTCTCTGGACCAGCTGTGGATATAGGAATCTGTATATGTTGGTTTTCTATTTATTTACACTATTTATTTATTCCAAATCTCTTTGTGATCGCTGTGTCCTACTGCCCAGCAGTGCCACCCACCAGTTCCGCCCACCTATGCACAGCAGTGCGCCCCCCTGTGCCCAGCAGTGCACCCACCTGTGCCTAGCAGTGCACCCTCCTGTGCCCAGCAGTGCACCCACCAGTGCCACCCAGCAGTGCCACACACCTGTGCTCAGAAGTGCCACCTACCTGTACCCACCCACATGTGCCCACCAGTGCCACCCACCTGTGCCCACCAGTGCCACCCACCAGTGCCCATCAGTGCAGCCCAGCAGTGCTGCCAGTCAGTGCCACCAGTCAGTGCCCAGTGGTTGTGCCAGTCAGTGCCCAGCAGTTGCGCCAGTCAATGCCTAGCAGTGCCACCAGTCAGTGCCCAGAAGTGATGCCAGTCAGTGCCACCTATCAGTGCTGTCTCTCAGTGCCGCCTATCCGTGACACCTCATTAGTGCTGCCTATCAGTGCCGCCTATCTGTGCCACCTCATTAGTGCTGCCTATCAGTGCTCTTCAGTGCTGCCTATCAGTGCCACCTATTAGTGCCCATCAGTGCTGCCTCATCAACGAACATCAGTAAAGGAGAAAAATTACCTGTTTGAAACATTTTATAATAGAAACTTTTTTTTCACATTTTTTGCACTTTTTTGTTTATAGCGCAAAAAGTAAAGTGCCCAGCGGTGATTAAATACTGCCAAAAGAAAGCTCTATTTGTAAGAAAAAAATGATAAAAATTTCATATGGGTGCAATCTTGCATGACCGCGCAATTGTCAATCAAAATGCAACAGTGCTGAAAGCTGAAAATTGGCCTGGTAAAGAAGGGGGTATAAGTGCCGGCAAGTGGTTAAGTAAAAAATAATAAATGCACATTTTTTTTCAGGTAAAAAAATGTGCATTTATTATTTTTTGCTGCAGGAGCCTGTAAAGCATTGCACCTGTGATCAGCAGATCGCTGGTGCCATGCAGGTCTCCTACTGATCTGTCAGTATATCTGCTTGCCCATACAGGCTGTACGATGATATACTGACAGGAAGAATGAATGAACTACCATGGCACTCCACAGCACTGTGGTAGTTCATCGAGGACTACAAGCCGACAGCCGAAATGCTGTCACAACTTGTCATCTCTCATTCACAGAGGAGCGTGAATGAGTTACATGGGGGGGGGAGCAGGTGCCAGTCTGATCATGACATGCTACAATATGGGTGTAACATGTTATGAAAGGTGAACTTATCCTTAAACTTTTAGATGAGTTCCCATCAATCTCAGGGTTATGAGTACTTTAGGGAGTCCTACTGTTTACTGTCCGACAATGCCACACATCACTAGTTACCCAAAACACCACCTTTGATTTTACATCTGAACTTCGTGCCCTTGTAGATCAGGCCAAAAAGAAGGTATACTTGGCAAGAGATAAGCAGCATTCCTGATCAACGATGTCTTTAAAATCCCATATTTCTATCATTTCTTGAAGGTACACAAATTTTCACTAATCCCCCAGGGCGACCCATCATGGCATCCAAGGATAGCGTGACCAGAACTATTTCCTAAAGGTAGGTTACCTTCCTACCCTCCTATATCAGGAACACCTTCTGGAAAACCTACAACCATGCACCTGGAAGCCCTCCTACCGCTGGGTATCTTTAGATGTGTCCCCAGTCTATACATCCAATCCCTCACGACATTGCTCTTCAGGCTGTTAACCACTTCCTAAAAGAAATTTGAAATAACCTGTGCCAAAGAAATAAAACACAATCAAAGACAGGTGCTGCTCAAAAGATGAAAAAAACATCAAAATACAAACAAAAAGGCAGCGCAAACCAATTTTATAAAAAAGAAAGAAAGTCCAAATAAGTCCCAAATAAAAGTCTCGTGTTTCAAAAAAATATGCTGCAAAAATTGTGATTCCCAACGTGCTCAAATCATATGTAGTGGTTCAAATATTCATCCACACTCACCCAATCAGGTGATTTCCCAGGTAGATAATAGCTTTAGGAATCAGAAACACACTTTGGAGGTGAGATGAGATCTCCACAGTTATGTAACACTGAACGAATCTCCAATATCTTCAATATATTTTTCTGAACAATCCCTCTCGAGCAGATGAAAAAGAGAGAAAAAAAAATCAAATTGTGTAATACTGCATAAACTAAAAAATAGAACTAATGTTCATCATTACACTAACATTTAAGAATTAATTACAATCTTAGATGGACATTAAATCCTCTCAAACAACCCCCAGCAATCATTCCCTGGTGATCCACAAATTCTCGCTCATGGATACAGTAGATGGTGGATGCAAAGAAAAAAAGGGGAGAGAGCCAAATAGTGTAATACTGTATAAAGCCTTTAACCGCCATATAGTAAAATGATGGACGCAAGGCGGGTTCTCTCGTTTTGGGAGGACGTCATATGACGTCCTCCCATTCTAACCGTGCATGCACAACTCCGGGAGCACCCAGCGCGGCGATCGGCGGTGTGCTGTGTCCCTCGGACACAGAGGATCACCAGTCAACGGAAAGAGCCGAAGATGTCGGCTCGGTCATGTGATCAGCTGTTTCCAATCACAGCTGATTGCATGTAAATAGGGAAATGCTTATCGGCATTTCTCTCCTCATGGGCTGTCATGCTGACAGCGCAAGAGGAGAGCCGGTAATCGCCATTCCTCAGAGGGGACATGTACACTGATCATCAGGGCACTGATGATCAGTGTGCCCTGATGATCTGTGTAGCCCCAGCAGTGCCTTCTGTCAGTGTCAATCAGTGCCAGCTGTCAGTGCTCATCCATGCCACCTGCCAGTGCCCATCAGTGCCACATCAATGCCACATTTCAGTGCCTACCAGTGCACATCAATGCCACATATCAGTGCCCATCTGAGCTGCCTTTCAGTGGCACCCATCAGTGCCAGTAAGTGCCACCTAGCAATGCCAGTCAGTGCCACCTATCAGTGCTGCCAATCAGTGCCACCTATCAGTGCCAGTCAGTGCCACCTATCAGTGCCAGTCAGTGCCGCCTATCAGTGTGCATCAGTGCCGCCTATCAGTGCCTGTCAGTGCTGCCTATCAATGCCTCCTAACAGTGCCAGTCAGTGCCACCTAACAATTCCAGTCAGTGCCGCCTATCAGTGCCACCTATCAGTGCTGCCTATCAGTGCCATATATGAGTGCTGCCTTTCAGTGCCCATCAGTGATGCCTGTCAATGCCCATCAGTGCCACCTACCAGTGCCTCCTCATCAGTGCCACCTATCAGTGTCCATCAGTGCAGCCTATCAGTGCCCATCAGTGCAGCCTCATTAACGCACATCAGGAGAAAAATCACTTATTTACAAAAAATGTTTTCAAAATTTTCAGTAGTTTTTGGTTTGTTTAAGAAAAAATAAAAAACCCAGAGGTGATTAAATGCCACCAAAATAAAGCTCTATATGTCACAAAAAATGATAAAAATTTCATATGGGTACAGTGTTGCATGACCGCGCAATTGTCATTCAAAGTGCAACAGCGCTCAAAGCTGGAAATTGGCCTGGGCAGGAAGGGGGTATACGTGCCCTGTATGCTAGTGGTTAATATAAAAAAAAAATTCCATATTGCACTCACGCTTTATAAAAGTGACGTGACGACGCCATGGAAGAGGGACGAAATGTGTTGACATAATTTCCAGTTTTTGATCCAAGACGTGTGACGTCACGTCCAGTGAGTGGAACACACTCTGGTACTGTGTTCCATGGTCATATTTGATGTGGGCAAAATAGGCAAATTTCCCTGCTTGCTGCCAGTTCATTGCTCTCCATGCTACTATGGTCATTGTACATGCCATAATGGATTTTATGCTTGTCTAAAGGAAGTGCACTTACCAAAGGCTTGTTTTACTCTTTTGAAGTGTGAGTGCAATAAGGAAAAAAATGTTTTATAATAAATGCCTTATACAGTATTATGCTATTTGCCCCCCCCCCCCCTTTTTTTTTCTTTGCATCCACCATCCATCCATGAGTGAGAGTTTGCAGATCACCAGGGAAGGATTGCTGGGGGTCGTTTGAGAGGATTTCATGTCCAACTAAACTTGTAATTAATTTTTAAATGTGAGTGTAATGATGTACATTAGTTTTATTTTTTAGTTTATGCAGTGTTACATGATTTTTTTTTTCTTTTCTCTCTTTTTCATTCACTCGAGAGAGTTTGTTTAGAAAAATATTGAAGATATTGGAGATTCGTTCAGTGTTATATAACTGTGGAGATCTCATCTCACCTCCAAAGTGTGTTTCTGCTTCCTAAAACTATTACTACCTGGGAAATCACCTGATTGGGTGAGTGTGGGTGAATATTTGAACCACTACATATGATTTGAGCACGTTGGGAATCACAATTTTTTTGTAGCAAGTTTTTTTAAACACTAGACTTTTATTTGGGACTTATTTGGACTTTCTTTTTTTATATAAAATTGGTTTGCGCTGCCTTTTTGTTTGTGTTAACCACTTCCTATCCACCGACCCAAATCTCAATGATCATCAGGCCAGATTTTCATTCTACAGGCCACCTGGTATTGTCTGGAGCACAACTACTTGAAATTCCATGGCAACATCTACCTCCAGATGGCTGGCACAGCCATGGGAGCTCATTTTGCCCCATTGTGTGCACCTAATTTCTGTAACCATTTTGCTATACCATGCAAAAAGTCACCAAAAACTCCTAACCAATTAAAGGGATTCCATCCATCTTTAGCAATATCTCTAGCCTTATTTATCTCTTATCTTTGCAAGATGACCTTTAATAATGTCCTTATTATCAGAAAGGTATATAACCTTGCACATTCCACCTTGAGTGGCAGTGAGATAATTTAGCGTTAATATATGCCCTAATACTTATTTTCTAAGCTGAGCTAATTCCCCATCCTATCCAGGAAAGGAACCATGACCATGCCATATCACCTTCAGTGAATCTTTTGAACACTAAAGGGTGTACTGGACTTTGACCTGGTCACATTGTATCTTTGTGAACAGCCAAAGCAGGTAATAACTTCCCAATATAACATGCACCTGTAACATTAATAGGAATACAGATGTACGCTTTATCTCCACAAATTATAACTCTCTACGTATGGATGATAGTCCTGCTCCTAAAAAAAAAACTAGATGCAATAACATGGAATTCCAGGTAACCAATATTGAGAACTGTGAGAAACTTGTACTATAAACGGTACTATTTAGCTCTGGATCTGGAATATACTGTAGTAATATTGACTATAGTTTCCTCCATAAATTGCTGCAGTGCAATCTGAATTGCCCAACTGTGTACATTTAGTGTTAAATTGGCACGTAATGTTTAGACAAATCTGTGGGGTGTCTATGTGTTGTGAAACTTTCAGAGTTACTGATCTGTGTTCATGAGCTGTGGATACCATGTAAGAGCCATTTATTCTGGCCCTGTTTAGATCAGTGAAGTTGAGAGGCATTGCTATCATGGGTATTGTTCCTGTTTGGTGTTGTAAGTGAGAACACACCCAGCAGTTACTAGCATTGCTATGAGTGGCATACAATTTTAACATTTGGATGAAAGAGTTATTTTTATATGCCTCATTTTTCACAAACATCAGAAAAAGAAACATAATTTTTATGTCAAAGGATATCATGGCTTCGGAATTTTCTTGCAATGACTGGCATGAATCCAGGTGGGCTTTCCTTCCAACTTGTGGAACAGCGGACAAAATCCAAACATCCCCCTGGGCATAACAGTATTACATACACAAAACAGTGCACGACCAGGGGCGGACTGACCATTTAGAAACTCGGGCACTGCCCGAGGGCCCGGGTCAGTAGGGGGCCCCATGAGATGCCCCTGGTACCTTTTTCATAGGCTTATTTGAGTTTTGGGCAAGGACACAAGGCCCCATGATCCCCTATTGCCCGGGGGCCCCATGAGTTGTCAGTCCACCCCTGTGCACGACTATCCTTCACAGATCTTCATATATTCTCACCAGATTCTTCCCAATAAGAATGCGTTGTAAAACATATAATCTTCTATGTCTTTTCTCTTAATCATCTACTCCACTGCTCCCAATCTCCAAAACAAAAAAAAAACTAGTGTAGTAATTCCACACATAATGTGATACGTGATACACCCATGTACCAATTATACACAAAAAAAACTTGTAAATACAAAACACTTTGCGAATAGTATCCACCACTATTCACACAAATTACTCTTACCCTCACAGGGTGAAAATGTACATATGACTCCTCATCAATATAGCTTATCCTCTTGATTAAAGTGCAACTGTGCACCATCCACCTCCAGTGTGCAAACAAATACATGTGCTCTTTCCTTCCTTACCCTGCATACATCAATATGTGCTTTCAATACACAGTGCAATGTTCACTCTGCTCTTCCCATGAACGATTCTTCATGAACCTATTTATTGTTAAAATTGCGCTTACATGAAAGAAAAGTACAACCTGTACAAAAATGGCAAAAAAAAAATCCACTGACTTCATGACAAAACAATGAAAAGCTCTTAGTATAGTCAGGAAGTCCTAGGATAGAATTTTAATAAGCTCCTTCATCTGCAATTCCATGTCCCATGTGAGTTTTAAAAAGGGTTTGTAGTAGTAGCAGCCTCATAAAGAGGTGCCATAAGTTCTGATGCATTTGGAATCCAATCCTTACAATATCCTACTAACCTCAGGAAGGCATGTAATTGCCGTACATTTCTTGGCTTTTCACATTTTTGCAGAGTTCTAACTTGATCTGGGGTTAGGTGATGGATTCCGTGTGAAATGCAGTGACCCAGGAAGATCACTTTCTCTTGGCAGTATTGTAGATTATCTTTGCTAACTTTGTTGTTACTGTTGTAGAAAAACATGAGAAGGCTCACTGTTTCTTTGCTACATATGTCCTTTATATCAGAACAAACAAGCAAATTGTCTATGTACTGAAGCAAAACTGTGTTTGGGTGTGAGGGGGACCAGCGGTCCAATACTTGCTTTAACGCAGTATTATATTCAGAAGAGCTGCTCACACACCTTTGTGGCAATTTGGTCCATGCTAATTTTTTGGCTGGTGGGTGAATGCAAAAAGGTGCCAACAATCTGGGTGAAGGGGAAGCAGGTGATGGAGGCAGGTATTCCACTTAGTAAAGTGTGGGGGTTGGGCACCATAGGGGTGTCTGCCTCTATTGTGTTGTTAATAGCTCTCAAGTCATGCACCATGCTTCTGTCACTTGCACACCTTTCTTATTTGGTTTCTTTACAATTGGGAATAGGGGTGTTTGGCTTGGGACTTAATTGGCACAACACCTGCTGCTTTCAGTTGAGTGATTTGATTATTTATCCCCTCAGTTTGAGCAATGCTCAATGGATACTGTTTATACGGTGGGAAATGGGCTCCTGGTTTGATTTTTTATCATAACTAGGGTGCAATTTGGTAGGACTACAACATAATTGCTGGTGGCCCATAACGCAGTGGGAATCACTTCCAATTCTGGTGGAAAAGGCAAAGTGGAGTCTTGGATTAAAAACACTCCGCAGGCAGAATTTACAAACTTCTCCCAACAGACTACTGACCACTTGGACTCCTGTAGGAGTGTAGTCTATGTTTGCTAAAATTTGGTTCAGAATGTCAGCTCCTAAAAGATTGGTAGGAACTGTGTCTGAAATTAACACTTTCGTGACAATTTCTGTTTGCTGTCCTAGCCTGAGTTTAAGTGGCTTGGACCAAATCATTGGAGGTCTCGGTTAAGCCGACAGAAATAATATTTTCAGATAATAATCCTGGAGGTAAGTCCTCTATATTGAACACGGATCAGCTTGCACCAGTGTCTCTTAAACAGGTTAATTCTGTTTCTCCTCCAGGAAATGGGAGTTCTTGTAAGAATACTTTTACTCTAGCCTCGGGACCATTGTCTCCCCTATTTAACACAATTGACACTGGCATATCATTTTCCTAGGCCCGATCCCCTGTATTTGGCAAAGAAGTGGGTTCAGCATGAGGTGCCTCTACGTTCCTTTCCAGTTTATGGTCAGGAAGATGACAGAATTTGGCTATGTGTCCTTCCCCATTACAATTGTAGCATTTGATTGGTCCCCGCTTGCCATGATTTCTGAAATTGCCTTTGCCTCTGCCTCTTCCTTTTCCCCTCTGCTTCCCCATGTATATAACTTTGGGTTTCTTTTTTGTTAATCTTGTTTTCTATGGATAACAATATAGGCAAGAGGTCTTGAACGGACATATTCTCTGCCTCAGGTCTTGCCATGAACAACCTTACTTTCTACTGAGGTATTAAACCATCAAGAAACCTTTGTTTCACCAGTTGTATAGATGGGACTTGCAGTTTCTTTTTTCTTTTCTTCCTCTATTGTAAGACCTGCTTCCTCAGCCATATCATTTAACCTCCTCCAGTATGCTCCTGCTGATTCATCTTTACCTTGCTTAGCATTCATGAATTCAGCATGTCTGGCCTGTCCATATATTTGGGGCAATTTTTCTTTTAATTTTTCGCAAACCTCCCTTCCACACATTATCTTTTCTATCTTTGTGACATCTACATCACATTCCTTATGTATATACACTGACATGTTGCTTCTCACCTCTTTACTAAGAAGCTGATGAATATTAGTAGCAGAAGCCTCATGTGCAGCACTAAGTTTCTTTGCAAACCCAATTGGATTCTTTCTAGGAACCCCAGTACCTCTAATATGGTTCTCATTTCTTGGCAACTAAAAGGTACATGCCATTTAATTTGAGACTTACTGTCAGCATTATTTCCTTCAAAAATGAATTAGGTCCTGACAGGAAGGACTGCAACAGATTGTTCTGTGACAGGGGCAGAAGGGGTGGCTTCTCCCTTCCAGTTCATTTAATCTTGCTCCTTCAGTTTGGAAATTATGGTTTTCCCCGAAAGTTCAGGCTCTATATCTCTTTGTCTGGCCAAATCTTTAAGTTCAGAGAGATTTAGTTTTGCATATGTACCTTTTGATTTATGCCAATCATCTGTTTCTAAGATATGAGGCAAATCCCTTTTAGTACGGTAGGTTGATATGGGGCTGTTAAACCTTCGTTCTGTACTATGTAATCTGGTTCTTGTGCTTTTAAAGCCAAACTGGCAGCCACATAAGGTGGGGAGTCCTCTACAGAGTCTACTGACCAGACATAATAGATTTGGGCAGTACTTTTATTAAACATCTCCATCAGGCCAGTCTCATTTGCTAATTTGATACAAAAGAAACCCGCGCCTAAACCTAATAAATAAATTAATAAGTGCTGCTGCTCATAGATGAAAGAAAAATCAATTATAAATATAACTAAACCACAGTGCAAAAATTAATAAAATAATACATAATACATTTCATCAGTGAAGTATATATATATGAATATATATATAAAACAATTAGTAGTAAATATATTCAGGAGTCACTGACCAATCATATTGCATGATGAGATACTGGGGGAGCTCTTGCCTAAGAAGCCCAAATTTATTTACAGGAGACCACCTACCCTTAGGACCAAATTGGGAAGAATGTCCCAGATCAACCTTCTAAGAGGGTTACTTTTTTGGACCAGGTGGTTTTCTTCAGATGTGGGAGGTGTATAGCATGTAAAACAATGAGGAGTGATAATATTAGGAAAACATCCAAACATTTCAGTCTCTAACTACAGGGGAAATATTCAATATATACAATATACAATATTCAGAAGTTCATTTCATGTGATAGTACCCATGTAACCTACCTTCTGGAATTCCCTTGTCATTTACAATATATAGGGAGGACAACTAGGAAACTTACTGCAAGGCTTGGTGAACATATAAGGAACATTAAAAAGGCTTCAAACATCATAGGTTGGCTTATCATTTTAGAAAATTTCATAATAGGGACCCATCTTTGCTAAAGTTCTGTAGGATTGACAGGATTGAGCCCCATTGGCGTGGTGGTGATATGAGGAGGTCAGTCTCACAGAACGAAACAAAATGGATTCTAAAATTAAGCACTTTGGCCCCTAGGGGGTTAAATGTGGCTATAGACTTAAACTGTTTCTTATCCAACTGGTGATTGTAGTGGGGAATTATGGCTATAAGCACAGATGGATTGATTATTGATTGTTTTTTTTTTATATTTTTTATTAGTAATAAATTCATTTATGTATACATTATTTACTATTTCATATTTGTGTTATTCATTATGTCTCATTATTGAAGTTTTAGCAATTAGTATCATTATTAAATTATTTTTTTTATGATCGATTTTATGGATTATGTACGATTTTAGAGGTTATAATATTGTATTGTGAATGGAAGTCATAGGATTCCGATCAGTAAGTGAATGTGCAGTAGAATGAACCAAGGAGTCATATCCATTAAGAACTAGCAAATCAGATAAGTGGGAGGGGTAGCGGGGAGGTATATTTAGGAGCAGGAACCGGAGATCACTGTCATCTGGAGGAGGGGCAAAACGCGTTGATGCAATTTCCAGTTGCGATGGAGGCTTTGCGACGTCGCGTCCGGTGAGTGGAGCGCACGCCGGTTGCAGTGCTCCAGAGCCATTTTGTTGTAAAGGAGAGCACATCCCCATACACTGCTGATAGTTCACTTTCTATGGAGCCATGATTAGTGTGATCTGATACCTGCTCGAGGGGGAAAGTTTACATTTATGAGGCTTGTTACCTATTTGCAAAATGTGAGTGCATTATGTGCATCGGTTTTAACTAATTAAAGAGTTTATGCAGTATTACACTATTAGTGTTTCTGTTATCTCTTTGCATTTTCATCTACCTGTCGGAGATTGTTTGGAGGTTGTCAAGCAAGAATTTCCTGAGTGGGATTCACTTTTGTAGGATATATCCCACCCTTTAGCTTGTTTGACTCTTAAGCCCTATCAGCTAAGAGTCCATTCCATTTGGTGACTGCGGGCCATACTGGAAGTCACGGATGGTGTGGGCACGCTGGAGTTTTTTTCAGCACTGTTTTTTTTTTGATTGGAGCACATTTTTTCACTATTGATTTGGTGAAATTGGACTTTTATTTTAAAAAAAAAAAAAAAGTTATATTTATAGTTGATGTCATTTGCTAATTTAGCTTCTGTCTCCCATGTGCAAGCTATTCCCCATGTACCTTCAGTGCACAGTTGGGGGCCATATTCATGCTGGAAAGTTTGCAATGCTTGTAAATTAAAAGTCCCTTCAGATTATAAAGGTTTCATGGTTCTTTTTGTTCATTCTACCCATTAATCTAGGGGCTCAGTATTGGCGGAACTGAACCTTTTGGTTCATATATTCTTTAGCGCTCATCTTGCGCTGGGCATTTTCTGAGGGTACCTTTCATTCCCTTACTTACAATGACTGGCTAGTCTATTCTCTTCTCTACTCTCTCTACTTGTGCCTATACACTCTTGTCTCTAAAACAAATAGTACAGCGAATCTGCAGATTTACAAGAGTAGTCTCCACTTATCTACATGGATAGAAGGGGTTTATGACAACAGACAAAACACTCACTAAAAGACCCTCCTCGTCTCTTCTCCATGGATTTTACTCTGACCCTACCATGTGTCTCTGATTTAGGCTGCCCACAAGGAGTCAATGTAGAGAAATGCAGAGGAATTTCCCCATCCACACACAGTCCAACCCATGAAGGGTGACACAACACACATGTTACCCAGCCAGAAAGGTCTGAGAATGGGTCTGGGTTCCTTGAGAACCAACAGACACAAAGGAAAGGCAGAAAATATAAGCAAGCTTAAGGACAACTTACCTAGCCGGCATTTAGAGGTCTGCGTTCCCGATGGTCCTGATCAGAACACGGTTCCTTCTGCAGACTCTGGCAACTCTTGATATCTGGCTCACCACAAAAACTGTTTGTAGATTTCTGGCTGAGACACTGAAAATAAAAGTTCAATACTGCAATTACAGGAACAGATTCACAGGGCACAATCACTGTAGTTTAAAGTATCCGTTCTGACAAAATGTATTATTACATTCTATTTTATACAGAAGATGAAAATGGGGTGGTGTGAGATGTTATTAAAAATTAGCAAATAGAATAATGTCACATTTCATATGCCTAACAGTTGCAAAACTAAAACCTCAAGAAGGGAGGGGGAGAGAGAGAGAGAACATCTAGGTCTGTTGTGTCTTAAGTGAGGGGGCGCAGGGCTCTTTTCAATATTGCAAGCAAGATGGAGTCTTTTGTGCTTAAATGAACAATACAGTGAAAGTCCTTATCACCTGTAAGTCCCTGCTTACACAGGACAGTTTCAATCTGAACATTAACAGAAGATAAAGGGGTAACAGTAGGAGGAACCAAATAAATTCCAAGAATGGTCACTCATCCAGAACTGTTAGTAATAGACCTTTATTATATTATCTCCAGTAAGGGTCATCCCAGATGATGTACTGTATATGCCAGTTCACAGTCATCGCCTCTATGCGGTACCAGAACTCCATCCAGGCCATGGCAAATAAAGCTTGTATTTGAGTCAGCAAATACAGCAATAGTGTAGTATTTTATTTAAAATTAGATAATATGTAAACAGGTAAATGAGTCTCTGCCCCAATGTGTTTCATTTAATGGGACATTTTCAGTCTAGAACACAACCTCCAAGGGTGGGACTACAGACCGGCGCCTACTGTGTACTGGATGTTGCAGGGCAGGAGAGTTGACTCTCCTGCTCTTGCATATTCATTTTACAGGCACAGCTTAAGAAACACAGGACTTTCAGAAGGCTGAACTGATTGGTCACTATTTTGTGAGCTTTGCTGAAAGGAAAAATGTTGATGCTGCTAATGTGGAAGCTCCAATACAGAAAGTTCTCTATCCACAAGTAAATCAGACAGATCATGAATCAGAGGGACATTTAAACAATGTCTTAACCAATCTTCACTTTCTGGCTGTCCTGAACTTTCATGAATTTTGACTAAAGGAGAAGCTGTTGCAAAGATCAGTCCATTTTGACAGGCATGAGAAGAAAACCATTGAAGACACAAGGATATCAACAGTTATGGCAGCTCAGTGACTGCAAAAAATAAAAGGAGGGAGAAGAGAGCAAAAAAGCCAGTCCTTACCAGATTATGACAACAAGCCACTGCAATTCCATGAAAGAGTGCAGCATACAGTAACATGTGGGATCTGGTAGATAACTTGGCACTATATCCTTATATAAAGTAAAGATATTCTTTATCCATATTCAAAATATAAAATAAGAAACTACCAAATTACAAAACCACAAGTAACATCAGCAGCTGCAGACCCCCCCCCCCCCCTCCATAGGTAGATACAACCCTCTACAAAAGGGGAACATGGTGCTCTCATATATCTATCTCCAGTGCTGTGCAAAAAAGTGTCCTAGTTTAGGGTACAGACCAACCACATATCACATATTCCATTTCTCCTTCACTTTGGTATTGTTCATGGAATTCTGAAACTCAATAAAACAAGTCCCAAACTTCAGCCTAAATCTGAGCACGTTTCAGAAATTTGCTCCATATAAGTGGCCAATGCTGGAAGACTCCAAGGAATGGCTTTTACATTTCTATGTGCTTGGATATAGGTAATCCCCCCATGTGCACAACTACTCAGTATGGAAGATACAGCCCTTCCCTATTATCAACAGTAGCCCTCTCACCAGAGATTACTGTAAGTTATAGGGCTAGCATGCCATACAGCACAAGTTAGCTGTTGCAACATATGGGAGACACCAGCTAAGCATACATTCCAAGCACCCACATTTTTCTGGTTTGTGAAAGGAGATAATTAGCCATCCAGTTCAAGCACATGTGGCCTACCTCATTCTATGAGGCATGTATGGTCTGGTCCATCTATGAGTCACATGTCTTATTCATCTTGAAAAGGGATATGGGGAGGGGGCCTGACCAGTTTCGCCTACCAAACCGGCTGCATCAGAGGTATGACCTCTATTTACAGTACTGGGTTACATTTATAATTAATGGTCTCAAAATGGCCACCATTGGGGCCTGTCAGGGCTCGGCTCCTGCTACTTAACAAGCAGCTCTTTTCTTTTAGTGCTCAGAAGCTGCGCAGCTGTTGTTTAATTACCAGCTACTCATTGTTTCCACAGTGACTCACCTGGATACCATTATCTGCTTTATTAGTCCAGCCTACAGCCAGCCCTTTTTGCTATTTTAGCAGCTTAGATCATTTCCTCCTTTCCCTTGCGTGGTATATGATCTCCATTAGGGATAAGGACACCTCTCATACCATTGATTATCCACTTGGTTCATGCATCTGACTGTCGGCCATCTTTTTGGATTCTGTGAATCAGCTTTTTTGGACATTACCATGTAAGTATGCTACTTACTTTTACCTTTTGAATAAAAATACTACACTATCAAGATTTCTTTCTTTTGGGTCTTATTGCCGAGTCCCTGAGATGATCTCCTGATATGAAAGCACACCAATCCTGGCGATAGAGGATATAACGTTATTTCGTGTTACTGTAAAGAGGCGCACTCCCCCTGGTGGTAGGAGACGGCAAGAGTGGTGCACTGGTGTTCCTGAGGGCTTTACGCTGAGGACCATTTGGCTTTGACCAGGAGTAGGTCATTATACTCCAATGCGCATTTACTTGCGCTATCTGGTTAGTGCATTTTACAGCTATTCTCCTATCACGGAAGTCACGGATTTGCTTGGATACACCCCAAAACTTATGACTTTAACATCCCTATCACTATAGGCACTTTGATTAGTTGGATGAATCTTCATTATTTACCTGACCATTGTTTACATTAATTTATGAATGTGGGATCAGGTGCATGTTATAAAATGAATGTTTTTTCCTTTTAATTCTGCTATATATATGTTAATTCCCTGTATTATATACTCAAGCGCTGCAACTTTTTGTATTTGACTTTTGATGAAGAGGGTATACGAGGTTTACCTTTATGCTAGCGGCTTGAATCTGTCAGATCCAGCGCTCGTTCTTTTCCCCATATATTGTATGATCTCCATTGTGTTCTTGCCTGTGTTCCTGTGTACAACTCTGGCTGGATGACTTCTCTTCCAACTCCTGTTCCTGATTTTTGTCTTATGACTACGCAGACTTCTGGTTTCCTGACTCTGGCTCATCTTATAACCTACTCTGGCATCCAAACCCTGGCTTCTGTTTTGACTACGTTCCTAATCTAGGTTATATTTGCTATTTCTTTTCAATTATTTTTTATTGGGTTTTTCATGTACAACAACATAAAGAGAGGCAAGATAGAAAACAAGTACAAACTTATCTAAGTACCATGTCTCAAACGCATTCTTATCTGCAAGATCAATCATATACAGGCCTAATTGGCCAACCGAATTTGTCATGAACAAGATATACAGTATTAGCAGGTTTGGTTACCAACAGAAAAGGATAATGAGGTTGCATGTAAGGCACATATAAATTGCATAGTACATTAAGTTCCATCACTATCATCCCAGAAGGACAGGCAACAAGGAGCCCAACCTCCAGGTATTGAAATCAAAAGGAGAGGAAAGCAAAAACAAAAAAGGAAAGAGGGGGTTGGGAAAGACAAAGGTAACATGAAGGGTAAGGGAGGAACAGAGCACCAAGTCAACAACATAAAAACCAAAGCCAATAGTATCATTTTCAATTGTATATATTCATATTGAGATTCGTAAACATCTCTTTCCAACTGGCCCATTTCCAATCAAATTTCTCCATCTGCTGATTTGTGAGGACCACAGCCCTCTCACAGACATAATGTAACTGCACTCTTTGAGTTACTTCGGATATAGAGGGAATCTTTGTTGATTTCCATACAGCCGCAATGACCATTCTGGAGGCAATAAGTATATGACCAATTATTGTTCTAAATTGGGCAGGAAATAAGTTTAGGGTGATATTAAGTAGGTGCGGTGCTGGTTTGGTTAACATGACAGAAATCTGTGAAATAAGTGAAAAAACTGCTTGTCAAAAGTTGAGTAGACATGGGCATTCCCACAAAATATGATACAAATTACCTTCCCTGCCACAATTCCTCCAGCACAATGGCGACACATTTGGGTACATTTTAGCTAGTTTGTATGGGGTAAGGTAGCTATGATACAGTATTTTAAAAGAACAATCCCAATGATTGGTACATTTTGTAATACGTAAATTATTGCACAGGGCTACATCCCATTCATCTCTGGTGAAAGATCTTTGGAGGTCCTTCTCCCATCTACTCACACAGCTTAGAATAGAAACATCATTATCATAGTGTAAAAATTTATAGAACCATGAGATACCTTTTTTTATTTTGATAGGGTTAGTAAATGCCTACCATAGTTTTGAATCTATCTCAATCCATGTCTTCGGATGTATACTGTGAAAACCTCTAATTTGTGGAAAGGGGTATAGACCTTTGCTTGGTGTGGTGTCAGCTATCTCAGCATAACTGCTATACCCTAGTTCCCTTAAGGCAGTGGTTCTCAACCTTTCTAACGCCGCGACCCCTTAATACAGTTCCTCATGTTGTGGTGACCCCCAACCATAAAATTATTTTCGTTGCTACTTCAGAACTGTAATTTTGCAGTGGGAGGAATAGTGCCTCATCATTGGTGTCAGTGGGAGGAATAGTGCCCCATCATTGGTATCAGTGGGAGGACTAGCGCCCCATCATTGGTATCAGTGGGAGGAATAGCGTCCCATCGTTGGTATCAGTGGGAGGAATAGTGCCCCATCATTGGTATCAGTGGGAGGACTAGCGCCCCATCACTGATGTCAGTGGGAGGAATAGTGTCCCATCATTGGTGTCAGTGGGAGGAATAGTGTCCCATCATTGGTATCAGTGGGAGGAATAGTGTCCCGCCATTGGTATCAGTGGGAGGAATAGTGTCCCGCCATTGGTGTCAGTGGGAGGAATAGTGCCCCATCATTGGTATCAGTGGGAGGAATAGTGCCCCATCGTTGGTGTCAGTGGGAGGAATAGTGCCCCATCGTTGGTGTCAGTGGGAGGAATAGTGCTCCATCATCGGTATCAGTGGGAGGAATAGTGCCCCATCGTCGGTATCAGTGGGAGGAATAGTGCCGCATCGTTGGTGTCAGTGGGGGGAGGAATAGTGCCCCATCGTTGGTGTCAGTGGGGGGAGGAATAGTGCCCCATCGTTGGTGTCAGTGGGGGGAGGAATAGTGCCCCATCGTTGGTGTCAGTGGGGGGAGGAATAGTGCCCCATCGTTGTTGTCAGTGGGGGGAGGAATAGTGCCCCATCGTTGGTGTCAGTGGGGGGAGGAATAGTGCCCCATCGTTGGTGTCAGTGGGGGGAGGAATAGTGCCCCATCGTTGGTGTCAGTGGGGGGAGGAATAGTGCCCCATCGTTGGTGTCAGTGGGGGGAGGAATAGTGCCCCATCGTTGGTGTCAGTGGGGGGAGGAATAGTGCCCCATCGTTGGTGTCAGTGGGGGGAGGAATAGTGCCCCATCGTTGGTGTCAGTGGGAGGAATAGTGCCCCATCGTTGGTGTCAGTGGGGGGAGGAATAGTGCCCCATCGTTGGTGTCAGTGGGAGGAATAGTGCCCCATCGTTGGTGTCAGTGGGAGGAATAGTGCCCCATCGTTGGTGTCAGTGGGGGGAGGAATAGTGCCTATCATTGGTGTCAGTGGGGGGAGGAATAGTGTCCCATCGTTGGTGTCAGTGGGGGGAGGAATAGTGCCCCATCGTTGGTATTAGTGACACAAATGATGGGGCACTATTCCTCCCACTGACACCAATGATACTTACCTTGCTGACCCCTGCTCCAGCCTGGGCTCGCTCTCTCCCTCTCCCATCTACAGCCTGCAGAAGCAAAATTTGCACTTACCTGTCAGCTGTCTTCCTTCTCTGGCCTCTCTCCTCTTCACTCGGTCCTGCAGCTCCCTCGATCTTCTTCGATCTGCGCGCTCTGCCGCTCGGCTCCTCCTCTCCAAGCTCCACCTCCTCGCCGGTGCTTGGCCGCCTGTGTGCCTCTCCTGAGCTACAGTTCCGGTGGCCAATCAGCGGCGAGGAGGCGGAGCTGTTGAGTGATCCCGGAGGTGTGGCCAGGTTACAGGGGCAGCATATCATCCCGCCCACAGATCGCGAGACAGAGCAGCGGTGTCTCGGTTCCTAAGACCATCGGAAATATGTGTTTTCCGATGGTCTTAGGCGACCCCTGGGAAATGGTCGTTCGACCCCCAAAGGGGTCGCGACCCCCAGGTTGAGAACCGCTGCCTTAAGGGGTAGGTATTGAGGTTGGGAATAAAGAGTTCGTACGCCGCTAGTGGGACATCCATTTGAAGTTTTGGGGAGGAATTCAGCTCATGAAGACCCACTATCCAGGCCTCAAGGGTAGCAATAATTGACAGAAGGAATGTAGGTATAAGTTTGGATGTGATTGACCTAGCCAGCAATAATGCACGAAGATCTCTATTGGGAACCACACTCTACTCTATTTGTACCCATAATTTATCAGATGGGGTTAGCCATGCGGATAGTTGATCAAGGATAGTTGCATAGTAATACGTAGAAAGTATCGGGAGGCCGATCCCTCCTTTGGACCCATGTTTAGTAAGGGACAGGAATGGAATCTGTGATTTTTTTTTCCCTTTCCAGATGTATCTTTTAAGTGTCACCTCTAGCTTACGGAAATAGGCGGAAGGAATAAGGATTAGAATTGTTCGAAAATTATATATTATTTTAGGAATAATCAACATCTTAAACGCGGCTATTCTGCCTATCTATGAGGATTCAAATTTTTCAAGTCGCTGTAGCTCCACTAGAATAGAGTGGTACAATTTTTCGTAGTTATGTTTAAATGTATTGGAGGTCGGGGCTGATATACATATACCTAGATTGTTCAATTTCTTGTGGGTCCAATTATAAGGAAATTTATCTTTAAGGTATTTCAAAGGTCACTTTGAAACAGATATTGTAAGGGCACAAGATTTGGTGACAGTAAGTTTATAGTAAGAGATCGCACTAAAGGACTCTAGGGAAGCTGAGATTTCTGTAAGGGAATTCACCGGGTCAGTAACAGTAAGAATGACATCATCTGCAAATAATCCAATTTTGTGAGAGGTATTTGCTATTGGGATACCTGAGATTCGTGAGTTATTTCTAATTGCGGTCGCTATCGGCTCCATCACCAATGAAAAAATGATAGGAGATAGGGGAAATCCCTGTCTTGTTCCATTAGTAATGCTGAAGGGTTCAGATAGTGCATTAGACGTAAATACTTGTGCAGTAGGACTGTATATAGAGCCATAATAGCCGATTTTATAAAGTCACTGATACCGAATTTAGTTAGGGTAGCGTCTAAGTATTGCCAATGTACTCTGTATATGCGATGTTGATTTCGCAAACAATAATCAAAAATCTGCCTTTGCTGTCTGCCACTTCAGAGAGCAATGAGAAGGCCACCGAGTTACGAACAGCTATAAGGACTCCACACTTCTTGTCAGGACCGTTAGCTGTAAACACATGTGGGAATAAGCGGTGTGAGCAATGCGGTGCTTTGAGGGAGGAAAAGTGTGTTTCCTGGACACAGAGCACATCCCCATGTAGCCTTTGGACCTCTTTCCACATTACTTGACCTTTAAATGGGCTATTAAGACCATGGACATTCAGTGATACAAACTTCAAAACCATAATGAATTCAGTAAAAATGAGGTGTGGTTGCCCTATAGTGGCATAAATCGGAAATGCTTATCATACATTGTGTTCCAAAAAAGAAAGCTTACTGATTCCATAAGGTTCCAGCTAAGGCTATATGTCTTCAACATTCCGTGACGAGTAGAAATTGGCATACTTAGATCTGATATTGAGCAGGTGTTGGTGCTCTGAAAAAAAAAATGAAAAACAGCAAAACGATATTTGGGGGACAACAAAACAAACGAGTAACAAATAGGTTCGTGTGAGGTAAATCACTATAGCTGGTGGGGGGAAATATGCCAAGACACGCAGCCTGAATCTATACTGTCCAAGTGCACAGCGGGCAGAACACAAAAAGGAGCAAAAGAAAACCAGAATGCACAAGAGATTAAATTTGAAAGTCCTTTAAAAACCGTTCGCTTGTTCCCAGTCGGAAGAGACTTTCCTAGGGGAAGCTTTATTGGTTGCAGGTTCTTCTTCTTTAGGTATAAGGCCCCATGTTATGGCCAGCTGGAAGCCTTCTTCCTCAGAGGTAATCACTATCGTACAATTATCTTTAGTAACAAGCAATTTAGTAGGGAATCCCCATTGGTATTTAATATTGTGGTTCCGCAACAACTTCGTGAGAGAAATTAATTTTTTGCGGGCCAATATAGTGTGTGTGAGAGATCAGTAAACAGTGAGATCCCAGTAAAGGGTGCAGGAAGCGGATTATTCTTCCGTGCTAAAACCATCAATTCTTCTTTAACATGATAAAAGTGAATTTGCACTATTATATCCCGTGGGATATGATCGGGAAGGAAGGAGGGCTTTGGCAGTCTATGTGCCCTATCCACCACCACTTTCCTATTTGGAGTATGCGGCAGAAGGGTAGAAATCATTTGTTGGATGTACTTGCGAAGATCCGTGACAGGGACCTTTTCGCTGACTCCCCTAAATTTTATATTATTTATGCGAGAGCGGTCCTCCAGATCCGCCATCTTTACTTTTAAAGCTTTCAAGTCATCCTCTATGTCGTTGTGAGCGTCAACTAACTCGTTATGAGCTGTAGCGAATTCGCCCACCTTAGTTTCCATATGTGACACCCGCTCACCCAAACTTTCAACTTCCTTATTGACTTGTGACATGAAGCTCATCATATCTTTATGCAGGGACCCCTGAAGCATGACTAACGTATCTTTCATAACTGCAGCTGTGAGCGGTAAGGACTCTGCAGGATAGTCCTCCAGATGTTCTATAAATTCTCTTGTGTTATTGTGGGAGAAAGAATCAGAAGAATACTCACCCACTTGAAGTACTGTGGGAGAACAGCGCTGCTTGTGCTTCTGTGGGCTGCTAGTTGGGGACTGCACTGTGGAGCCAGGTGTCACTGCTGGGCTGGAGGTGTGCAGGGGAGAGCTGTGACCGTCTCTCTCCACGTGTCCCTGCATGTCTGGAGAGGAGCAGGGATCAGCGCCATCTTGGGAGGAGGGACACACCTGCCGGAGTGAAGAACTTCGATAGTTTCTGGGGCCCCTCCTTTATCTTACGTTTACCCATCTCCTCGGATCGGTGCCCCACACTACCCAGAGGCAAGTGTCAGTGTCGGTGGGTTTCCCCGCTGTCACCCGTCGCTGGCAGTTGCTGCGGTACTCGGCGGCTCCAGGAGCTCTTCCTCTATGCGGCCATCTCCGTCTGTGGCCGGCCACGCCCCCTCTATATTTGCTATTTCATTAATGGTGTGATTTTAACTGCACTTTCTGTCTCTACCTAGTTCATGGTTCCTGACAGGGCCAAAATGACATGATGCATATTCACCTGGGATTCTTCTGGGTTCAGGTTCTTGAATGGCCAGGCCAGAATGATGTAGCTCCCATGCATGCGCACAGAAATTATTTTACTCCAGCATCAAAGTGTGCTAAGAAGTTACACTGAGCTGCACATGCACAGCTCAGTATATATTCTTAAAGAAATTGTGAACAGGCAGGTGTTAACTTTAGAAACTGCAGCTTGGCATTGCATGCTATTATTAGGTCTGTGATCTACCAGAACACCCAGATCCTTCCTCGCTATTGACTCACCTGGATACCATTACCTGCCTCATTACTCCAGCCTACAGCCAGCCCTATTTGCTATTTTACCAGCTTAGCTCATTTTCTCCTTGTCCTTGTGGCCCTGATTCACTATTGGGCGTGGGCACATATTCATGGGCTTAAGCCCAATTTTCATGGGCGTCTGTCTATTTTTTACCCTGCAACCTAATTCACTATTGACCAGAGCCCATAAGCAGATGTCCAATCTAATTCACAAAAAGACACACGCCCGGAATCAGACTCACAGAGCAGACTTGCTAAGAAGCAAGTCTAACACCATGAAAAATCACTGCAGAGACATGTTCACTTAGAAATTTGCTTTGCCAAATATCAGGACTTCACTTTAAACAATATCTGCTATTTAAAAAAAAATTAAGAATGTGTTAAAAATCGTTTTTTTGAAGGAAATCGACACAGTAAAAATCTAGACGCCCGTGCAGTGTCTTTGGCAGATACAACTGAGCATGTGCAGAACACATTTTAGACTTCTGCCATGGGCGTTTGCTTTTTAGCCACTGACTAATAGTGAATCTTACTGTGGAGTCCTCTGACAGCCGACA